GCCATGAGGGGAGGGGCATCTGCAGATTAGAAATCTATGGAGCCTTCTCCTCTGGCCCAGAGCAGGTACCAGGGCAGGAGCTCGGCAGGCATGGACAGGACTGTGGAGCTTGTGATGCCTTACTAAGGAGGCTCAGTCCTGCAGGTGTGTAGCACCTGCTCCATCCAGGGCCTGAGGGACAGCCGGGGTGGAGAGAGGGGAGATGGGCACCGGTATAGCCTGTAGTGTGGAGAAACCCCTGCAGATACTGGGACAGTTGGGCACGAGCTAAGGTAAACCAGAAGCCAGTGCTGCAGAGGCCCGGGGAGCTAAACACGGTTCCTTAGTCTGCCCATTGGGTGCACAGCACAGGCCACTCCCTGCTGTCCATGGGGAGGACAGGGGTCTCCTAGCTGTCTCAGCCATCTCATTGTACCCTGCCCTACCTGGGGCCTGCAGATATCAGGCCAGAATAGGGAATGAGGAGGACTGGGAAGGCAGGAGCCCCGAGCACCCCCTGGTGGAAGACAAAGGCGACAGCTCCCTGTCCAGGGACCTGCAATGGAAGGAAGGTCCTGGCCTACAGGACAAAGTTATGGGGAGACTAAGGAAGGGCTCCGGGATGTGGTGTAGGCGCTCTGCAGCCACACACACAGGTCTCCTAAACGGAGGGTCCATCTGCCCATGGAGACCTATTTCAGGTCTCTGCCCAACAGGGCCCTGGTTCTGTCCCGGAAGGAAGCTGGTTGCATCCAACTTTGAGGTCCTCTGCTTAGCTTAGGTTTGTGCACTGGCAGGGCCCTGGATAGTCAGGAGCTGTGTCCAGACAGCCATGAGATGGATGGCTGTAGGGGGAGCATGCTGGACATTGGGGTTTGAGCTCAGGGCTGTGGGGGCCGGTAGTCTCTTCAGCTGCATGATGGAGTAGGTGGAGGAGATGAGTATTGGTTTCTGTAGTGTATCTCCACAGCCATTGCTTATGCATCCCGTTCAGAAGGGGCCCCTACAGGGCCTGCACCCAGGACCCTTCCCTGCCTTACACTGGAGATGCTGGGTCACAGCTACAAGGCAAAGCAGAGGGCCGGACCAGCTTGATCTGGAACAAAAACTGGTTTATCCCTGATTCCTCTTTGTTTGCCCAAAACAAAGGTCTCTTGTCTTAAACCCTTGCACACCAGGGCCTGGTGGTTCTGGGTGACCAGCCAGGCTGTCAAAGAGTGCTGGGGGTGGGGGTTACGATGTGCACAGGGGCTCTGTGATGCCCTGTGCTTGCAGCCTGGCCTCTGAGGTACAGACATCTCGAGGTATGTGCTTTGAGCTGTCCTTGTAGCCATTCCCCTTACCTGGCCAGTGGTGAGAGATGTCATGATGTACCTTGTGAGAGCATGCCTTCGATGGCACTGTTCCACTCTATTTACACTGCAGATGGAGAGGAGGAGCCGTTGCGGATGGACCCTGAAGGGCATACACAGGTGCCCGGAATCCATCTGCAAACACAGGCAGCTGGTCATCTTCCAGTGGACCTCCAGAAGAGGGACTGAACAAGAGCTTGGCTCTGACATCTCACCAGTGGCCGTTCTCAGCAGAAGGCCCCCACAGCAGGCCAGGGCCACAGCAGGGCAGTCTTTGGGCTATTCCTGGCCGGTGCCCACTTAGGCACTACTGTGCTCTTCCCCACATTGAGGGATCAGTGAGATCCTGAGGTCTAAGATGCCCTAGAGCAGTCTGAGGCTGACATACTCTCCACCCCCCAGAGCTGGAGCTGACAGTGGTGGTGTTTCCTCACTTGTGCAGAACTCTACAGGATCCTCCAGAGCCTGCCCACTTAAGGGGGCTGCTGAGCCTCAAAACAGAGCTAACCTCTCTTCTCCTCACCTCCCACATGGGGGCTGAGTCTAATCAGCTGTACCAGGCAGGTCTGAATGTTCCCAACCTATTCAGGGGTTGGTGACTCCCGTCATTTCCAGATCTTATTGAATGTCTGGACCTGGTTAGTAAAGCCAAAGAAAAGACATGGGAGGGCTTGTCTCCATGTCCACCAATTGTCCCTGTGAAGCCCATCTGTCTAAGACCTCAATGGGAAAGGGGAGACTGTCATCCTGGCCTCCACAGAGTTGCTGGAAGCCCAGTGTCCTGAGTTGGTGCATGTCTTAGCAATGGCCTATGCCTGATGTCTGGGCGTTGCAGTGAGCACTGGTGCTGAGGTCACCTGATATCTGTTGGCCCATGATGCTCATGTCTGTTCCTAGGCAGCCGTGTTTACCCCAACACAGACAGGCGGGTGTTTGCTGTCTGTGTTCTCGAGCCAATTGACATGGCCCTGGGCATTCAAAGACAGGGTGGGACAGAGCATCCCACCTAGGGTGTCTAGGTTCCCTGGACCTAGCCACAGTGGAAGGCAAATTGCTGTCCCCGGAGGCCTGCCAGCCCAAGAGAGGCTCACCCACCACTCTAGGCTCTACTGCAAGCTTGTCTTCTCTTTGGACCTCAGTTTCCCCATCTGTTCTTGGAGACCCCCTTGACTGCCTTAAGCAGGAAGTAGCATTGTGGCTGTTCACATGTTTTGGGAACTGAAAGGAGGTGGTGGCAGTTTTGCATCTACCATGCAGAACATGGCTGGAGTCTCCAAACCCTAAGGCTTGTTCCTAAGTTCTTTGTGGGCATGTCCCCATTCTGACGGTCTGACCTCACAAGCTCAGGGGCCGGACACAGGAATCTGCTGTGCCCAAGGTGATGACAAATTCAAAGCCAGACCTGCAGGTATGTCCCTCAGTTCCCACCTCCATCATGCCCCACCCACAAATTCTCTATTCTTCCCAGCAGCCCCTCTGGGTCCTTCTTTCTTTTTTAAAGATTTATTTATTTATTACGTATACAACATTCTGCCTGCCTGTATGCGTGCAGGCCTGAAGAGAGCACCAGATCTCATTATAGATGGTTGTGAGCCACCATGTGGTTGCTGGGAATTGAACTCAGGACCTCTGGAAGAGCAGTCAGTGCTCTTAACCTTTGAGCCATCCCTCCAGCCCCCTCTGGGCCCTTATTACAGTTCACCTTCTAGCACTACATCTGTCTGGCTCCATGTCATTTTTTTCCTGCTCCATGGACAGCCGGGTGTCACTGTCACCTGCTCACAGACCCTGTAAGGCCAGACTGCCAAGCACTTCGGGTTTCCCAAGGAGGTGCCTTCATGTGCCTGGAGCTTCCTGCAAGTCATGTTGAACTTAGGGGCCTCCCAGACGGTTCCTACCCTTGACATGGCCAACAGCTCCAGCAGAGTTGTGTTCCAGAGGTTTCAGAACAGAGTGCACAAGGGTACCTTCCCTAACAGTCGGGTGGGGTGCCTGGGGCCCATGCCATGAAGTTGGCCTCTAGTTGACCCATCTCTGTCAGCTGAGGCCATCTACATGGTGGCAAGCCACACAGAGAGCAAGCAAGGAGCAGGAAGCTGAGGTCGATATACAGATCTGGGACCTACTCCTGAAATGTGGAAAACAAAGTCCTTGGAGGGAAAGCCCTTCACACAGGATCTCAGCATCAGCGTTCTTTGCCGCCTGCCTCAGCAGAGGAGCCGGTAGACATGACTCTGCCCAGCACATGGTGCAAAACCACGGTCACAAAGGGAGATGAGCCTTCACCGAGGGTTCTGCAAGGGGAAAGTGTGTGGGAGTTGAAACCGCCTCAGCTCTGTCAGCAAGCTAAACAAAGTGGCATGTGCCTGGCCCGTGTGTCTTCTGGGAGATGGGGCAGGGAGGTGACCTGGAGCTGAGCTTCAGAGTCCCTAGGCTGGAGTGAGCTCAGTAAGGGTCAAGACTAGAGGCCAAACCCAAGTGCTGAGCCCACTGCACAATTAGGGGAACCACAGTGCTGTCTGCAGGTGGGATTTGGTACTGCAAGCCACAACTCTACTGGCCTTGGTCTAGAGCAGTGGTTCTCAACCTGTGTGTCGCAACCCCTTTGGTACATGTCAGCTAGATGCACTATGATTCATAACAGTAGCATATTACGGTTATGGAATAGCAATGAGATACATGAGGAACTGTATTAAAGGGTCACAGCATTAAGAAGGTTGAGAACCGCTCCTCTGGAAGTACCACATGCAGGGTACGGGAGGCCTGGCTTACAGGACATCAAGCCATCTTAGGAGCTGAGTCTGCCGCTCACTATACCGACCTGTGTGCCCGCTTGCAGACATTGATGTAGTGTGTCCTTTCCATCTGTCCATGGCTTCAGCCTTACCCATTGTGTCTTGGCCCCCACCACCACCAGCAGCAGCACACCTGGGCTACAGGTGCCTGCTGGACAGAGACCTGCTAAGTAGCCGCCCCCCCCCCCAGCGCAAGCCCCATGTGGGTGACAGGCTACCCCAGCCAAAGGCACGAAAGCTTTGGTGACCCACCACCATGGGCCTCTCTAGTTTTTCTACTGGCATCAGCAGCCTATGTCATGAGCCTCTTGAGGCCTGAGGACACAGTGTCCAGGGTGTGGAGCTGTGGGCTTGTGGTCAGGTGGCTGCCTAGCAGAGGAAGGATGCTAGAGGCTGAAGCCCAGCCTCAGTGTCCCAGCCAGACTATCCTGTCAGCTGGAATTCCAAAAAGAAGGGGCGTCCCTGGAGCAGGCTGAGCTAGGAGTCACCTTTTTCTCTCATTTTTACCGAGGACTGGGCCGTGGGGTCTGGGTCCACCCTTTTCCCAGGGGTTAATCCTCAACTCCTCATTCCTCCCTGGTGGAGAGGGGCGCTCAACAAGGTCCACCTGCCAAGGCTGCACTGAGCCCTGGGACCAGGCTGAACCAGTGCATCCACATCCAATCCCCGGTCATTCCAGCATCAGCTGCTAACTCAGCCCAAAGCCGTGACCACTGACTTATATTGCCCAAGCAGTACCGCTGGACAATACTGAGGCCTCAAGCATGGTGTAGGGAGAGAGCTGGCTCTGGAGTGAGGCTAGGTTACTAGGCAGGCCCCTGTGGGACCATCTTCAGCACACAGGTACCAGCTGCTCATTCGGTTCTCTGTTCCTAGGGGGGCAACAACGCTGGGCACACAGTCGTGGTGGATGGCAAGGAGTATGACTTTCACCTGCTACCCAGCGGTATCATCAACACCAAGGCCGTGTCATTCATTGGTGAGTATCCTGCCAGCCTCAGCCTGACTTCCTGAACCAGGATCTCTCTCTCTCTCTCTCTCTCTCTCTCTCTCTCTCTCTCTCTGTGTGTGTGTGTGTGTGTGTGTGTGTGTGTGTGTGTGTGTAGAGCATTGTACAATGCTGTAGAGTTTGTACAGTCTCACTGTACAAACCCCAGGGCTGGACCTCCTCCTGCCTGCCCTGTGTGCTCACCTGCCCCCGACCCAGAAATTGTCCTCAGAGCATGGTCTCACCAGGTGCAGGAAGCTCTGTGGAACATACAGAACACTGTGTGTGTGTGTGTGTGTGTGTGTGTGTGTGTGTGTGTGTGTGTGTGTGTGTGTGTGCAAGTTCATGTGTATGAGTGTGTTTGTGTGTCTGGAATTCAGTGTGCAAAGGTGTGCCTTCACAGTACATAGGCCTGGGGACAGCCTGGGCACATTTCCTGATACTGTCTGGGCTGTTACAGCCATTACCCCTCAGACAGCTACTCCAGATGCCTGACAAGGCTTCCCTGCCCCTGGTCTCTCCAGTTGGTGCTGAAAAGGGCTCCCTTCTATCTCCCCCCAGCCCCTCTTGTCCTCATTCTTCTATCTCTGACTGACATGCGTGTGGCTTATCTGACCCCCACATTTCAGTCAGGAAGCAGGTCTGGCCCATTGTGTAGGAGCAGAGGAAGGAAATCTGCTGGGATGGGCAGAGTCAGAACTCAGGCTGCTTCTTCTTTTCTTCTTCTTCTTCTTCTTCTTCTTCTTCTTCTTCTTCTTCTTCTTCTTCTTCTTCTTCTTTATAAGCAGGCACATTTTTTTAAGATTTTGTTTATTTATTTATTATGTATACAACATTCTGCTTTCATGTATATCTGCACATCAGAAAAGGGCTCCAGATCTCATTACAGATGGTTGTGAGCCACCATGTGGTTGCTGGGAATTGAACTCAGAACCTCTGGAAGAGCAGTCAGTGCTCTTAACCTCTGAGCCATCTCTCCAGCCCAAGCTCAGGCTTCTTAAAGCCCCTAGAAAGTATACTCTGTGTCTAGCCCTCCCGGTGCAGAGCCAGCCTAGTGGTGATGTTCACCTTCCGCAGGGAGGAGCCCCAGCCTCTGAGGTGGCCTGTGTGCCCGTGTGCTGAGTGGAGGGGCAGGCAGTGGTGCTGTTGCCAGCCTGGTTCTACTTCATCCTGAACCCTCCTTGGTGGATCAAGGCAACACAGTGGAGATGTGACCCAGAACACGTGTTGCCTAAGCCCAGAAGATGGCTTGGGACCAATAACAGGAGAGTGACTGGCAATTATCTGGGAGCTCACTCAAGAGCAGGGGTGCCATGGTCATCACAAAGGGTGCCAGAGCAGCCACTCAGCAAGAACACCCAGCCTGTGTTGACCCTCAGCTTACGACACTCCTTGCCTCTGCTGTGGGGTTATTTCAAGACGCTGTGGCATTTGGGTGACCTTTTGTGTTCACTGTGGCTTGTGTAATCTCTGAGTCACTCCGATTTGGACTGGTGTCCCACCTCCCTCTGCCAAACCTATGCCATGGCCAACCCCATGAGGCTGGCATAAGCTTCCTCCTGGGAGCAATGGTGGACTCGGCTTGCTTTGATCGCCTCAGCCCAGACCCTATACTGCCATTCCATGTGACCTTCAGAAAGGCCACCTTCACTCTCTGAGCCCCTGTCTCTAGCTGTGTGGACTAACGCTGAAGACCCCATGTTTGTTTTTCCATGATAAAGTACAGCTCCCAGGGTGCTGGTAGGATTCTGGAGATCTTTAGGGTCCACGTTTCTCCATGGTTCCTGTTTTCTTATTTTTATGTCATTTCAATAAAAATGCTTCATTGAACCGTAATTTACACATTATAAAACTCACCCACTGTAGGGGCTAGGCAGGCGATTCGACAGTTAAGAACACTAGCTGCTCCTCCAGAAGATGTAGGTTCGATTCCCAGCAACCACATGGCAGCTCACAATCATCTGTAGCTTCAATTCCAGGGTATCCAACACCCTCCTCTGGCCTCCATGGGCACCAGGCATGGTGTGAAAACATCCTCATGCATCTGCAGGCAAAACACCCACACACTAGCCGGGCAGTGGTGGGCACACCTTTTATCCCAGCACTGGCGAGGAAGAGACAGGCAGATTTCTGTGAGTTCGAGGCCAGCCTGATCTACAAAGCGAGTTCCAGGACAGCCAGCACTGTTACACAGAGAAACCTTGTCTTGAAAAACAAACAAAAAAACACCCACACACATAAAATAAAATAGAATTGTTTAAAACTACCCACTGTAAAGGTCCGGTTTTGAGGCCACCATAGTTGATTTCAGAATGTTTTGGGACATTGGAATGTTTTGGTCACTCAGAAGTAGCCTGTGTCGGCTGACTTGCTGTTGATGTAGTCATCATCTAGGTGGTAGTTTAGATTTGTGTTGTTTTTCTTTGCTTTTTGAGACAGGGTCTCTGTAGCCCAGGTCAGTCTTAAACTTGCTCTAAAGTCAAGTCTGGCCTTGAATTCCTTATCCTCATACTGAGCTCTGGATCGTTAGGGGATTTGGAGACATGTAACCTAGACTGGCCCCAAACTTGTGATCCCCCTGCCTCAGCCTCCCAAGGGCACTTTCTGTTTTTAAATGGCTTTAACCTTCTGCTCTGGGGTCAACTGGGGAGATGCATAGTCACCCCCCCCCCTTAGAGCAGGATTTGTTCTGGTGAGCTGCACAGAGAAGGCTAGCTCAGGAGGCACAGGTGCCATGGGAGCAGCTAGCAGGGGCCTGTGGCATCAGGTCCTTCCTCGGGGCTGGAGAGAGGACTTCTTGCTGGACAGACTTGGAGAAGGAGTCTCCTGAGTTTGGCTGTTTTTTAACGATCATCTTGGCTTCGGGTCCTAGCCCAGTACCTCCGTTCTGGTTTGCCGTGATCACCAGGTCTCCACACTTAGCCTCTACTCTTGTTTGCTTTCTGTGGCTATGATGAAGCACTCTGACTAAAAGCAACTTGGGGAGGAAAGGTTGTACACTTCCAGGTCATGGTTCATCATTGGAGGGGGGTTAAGGGTGGGAACGTAAGTGGGACCTGAAACAAAACCCGGGGAGAAACTCTGTTCTCTGGATCTCTCACTTTCTGGGTCATTCATGCTCGGCTTGCTTTCCTTCCTTCTTTCTCTATTTATCTACTTATCGAATCATTTATTTATTTATTTATTTATTTATTTATTTATTTATTTATTTATTTATTTATTTATTTATTTATTTATTTATTTATTTATTTATTTATTTATTTATTTATTTATTTATTTATTTATTTATTTATTTATTTATTTATTTATTTATTTATTTATTTATTTATTTATTTATTTATTTATTTATTTATTTTGTCTCCTCCTCTCTCTCTCTCTCTCTCTGAGACAGGGTCTTGTTATGTAGACCAGGCTAGCCTCTGCTCACAGAGCTCTGCCGGCCACTTCCTCCAGACCTCTGTGATTAACGGCATGCCCATTAATTGTGCCTCCACTAACTACCTTCTTATACAGCCCAGGTCCACTCGCCTAGGGGTGGCATCACCCATGGTGAGCTAGGCTGTCTTGCATCAGTCAGCAATCAAGATAACGTGCCATAGACACGTCCACAGGCCAATCTGATCAAGGGAGTTCTTCAACTGAGCTTTCTTCTTCTTGGGGAGCGCTAAGTTCTCAAGTCAACAATACAAACTAGCCAGGACCATCTCCATAACTGCCCTTGCTCAACACCAGCTGGGGGCTGAGTGGAGAGCCTCCTCAGTCACTCCTTCATTCGCCTGCATTTCAGGATCCTCCAGTCCACCTGATTTGACAGCTCACTTTCCTTAGCGCTAAGAAACACACCCGTGTTTGACATTCACGGTTATTCATCCACTCACCTTCCGGAAGTCTTGCCAGCCTTCAAGATTTGTCAGTTATAATAAGCTGCTGTCACTATCAGAGTGGGCTCAGTGCTCAGCCCCTTTCAGTGAACACCCAGGATAGAGGCGTATGGGGCCATCACACCACTGAGGGCAGAGCTCTGCTTCCCCCCCCCCCCCCCCCCTCTATTCTGGATTCCAAAACACCTCCCCCCCCCCTTTCTGTCTTCATGAGAACAGCGCCTCCAGGCCTCACCTAACTGGGTCATAGGGTTCTTGTCTCCAGTGTCTAAGCCCAGTGTCCCCAAGTGTAACCATGCTGTTGCATGTGATGGAATGACCTTTATCTTTAAGACTGGACATCATCCATAACTGGGTCTGGGCCCTTGAGCCTCTTGCCCCTGCTATCTGCCAATGACACTTGAAACATTAACATTCAAGACCCGGGACCTAATTCTGTCCCTTGTGTTGCAGGCAATGGTGTGGTCATCCACTTGCCAGGCTTGTTTGAAGAGGCAGAGAAGAACGAAAAGAAAGGTAAGTCATCCATGTCCTTGCCTTACCCACCCCCCCACGGCCTGTGAGGTCCGAGCTGGCTGCTCACTGCATACTAGCTCTGCCAAGGAGACAACAGAGTCCTCAGTAAGGGGCAGCAACTGGGCAGCTCACGACCTCAAAAACTGCTGCTGTAGGCCACTGCCTTGGCATCTTCAGCCCCTGGAGTTTCGAGGTGCAGGCCATCCAGGAAGGAGGTTGAAGCAGGCAGAGCTCTAGCATGGGTGTGGTGTCTTTTGGGTTTGGAGTCTAGCAGCCTCAGTAAGGAACAAGTGCCGGGACAGGGCTGTGGCTACTGTGCAAAGCATGTTGGTCCTCTGGAACCTGGCCACACACTTAAGCCAACAGGACCAGGGAGGGTGGCCCTCATACCTAAGACTGTACACACCTGTGATATCTGCCATGTCCCCACAGGCCTGAAGGACTGGGAGAAGCGGCTCATCATCTCTGATCGGGCCCACCTTGGTAAGGTTCCCATAGGACCCTGGGGATGGCCCCTCCTTGCTCTCTCCATCCAGAAGCCTTGCCCCTCCATGGTACAGAGCCCAGGAGACCCTGGAGGGCCTGCTGGTACCATATGCTGCTAAGCTTATTCTTTTTAATGAGCCTCAAGGTAGGCCTAGGTCAAAGCCGGGGTCATGCTTGGTGACCGGGGATCTGGAACCCCAGTATCTGCTCCCAGCCAGGGGACCTGCTGACCCCTTCTCCTGACACCATTCAGAAAATGAGGTCCCTCACAAATTTCTGTCCTCTGCTCCTCTCCTGCCCATGTGCTGGCCACTGGCGACAGTCTTTGACTTCCACCAGGCAGTGGATGGGCTGCAGGAAGTCCAGCGTCAGGCACAAGAGGGGAAGAAGTAAGTTCCTCATGCCACCACTCTTCCTCATCCTGGGGACTTTCAGTTCCGTGTGCTGGTGGCCTGGGTGCAGGTCCTGAGCGAGCAGGAGAGGGGGCCACCATCGATAATTAGTAAACCTTCGAGAACAGTAGGGCAGTTCAGCCTTGGGGTGGAGGTAGGGTCGGTCACACCCTGACTTGGTTGACTGTCACCGCTGTCTCCTAACCATGTCCACGTCCCATGGGGAAACCTGAGAAACATGGCAATGGCATGACTGCCCCTGCTTGGCCAGCAACCAGCCCCGCACCCAGCGCATGATCACCTTTCGCATGTGATATTTGCACTTTCGTCTCTTCAGAAATGTTGGTTAGATATGCCAGGGGTGCTTGTGGGAAGCAGGCAACAGCCACCACCCACACTGCACAGGCCCACGATGCTCACACGCTCACACACACATCAAGGCACATTTGCTTGTACAATTGTGCGTATAAGCGCTCCTGTGTATTTGCATGTGCGAATGGCACACGGATACACACACGTGTGCCTGCACACGTGTGTATACACGCGTGTGCACTTGCACAGCTACATTCACACAGAGCACACGCAGTCTCATATACACTCTAACACATGCATGCTCTCACAGGAATGCACACAGCACCACACAGTGAGTGAAGTTTGACTGACTCGCGGTCACCTGTGCAGACCTTAGGGATAGGTGTGTAGCCCCAACGCTCCCACAGTGTTCTTGCTGCCAAGCCAGAGGGCAACCAGATGCAATTGCTTAGAGGTAGTCAGACAGGGGAAGACTTGATAATGGAACCCGGAACCCTCTCCTCCTCTGCCCTGCACCGAGGTACTGTGTGCTTAAACTGTCCAGGTGTCTTTGCAGCAGCTCAGCCTCCAGCTCCCCACTGCTGCTGTTTGGCGGCCTCCTTCTGGCCTCGATTCATGAGGTGGACCCTGAGTCTCCCAGAAGCAGGGGTGGGGTCAGCTGAGCTCCTCAGCAGCACCCACTTGCATCTTTCAGCATTGGCACCACCAAGAAGGGAATTGGACCAACGTACTCCTCCAAAGCTGCCCGGACAGGCCTCCGTATCTGCGACCTCCTGTCGGATTTTGATGAGTTTTCCGCCAGGTGGGTCAACCCCCCCCACCTCCCCACAGCCTGGGGGGTGAGACACAGAAAGGCGGTGGGAGACGTGATGGAAAATAGAGCACCCGGGTCCAGTGTGGGCCCTCAGAGGGTCACGGTGAGGGTTGCCTGCACAGATTCAAGAACCTGGCCCTCCAGCACCAGTCCATGTTCCCCACCCTGGAAATAGATGTGGAAGGTCAACTCAAAAAGCTCAAGGTAAACTGGCCAACACTGGGCCAGGCACTGGGGAAGCACAAGGGGGCGGGACAGACCTCCCCGCTGTGGCAAGGGAGCGCCACCGAGCACACAAGTCCCGTGCAGGCACGGCTGCCAGCCGTCAGCTTTTGTGGGCTCTGCGGACCCTGCCGCCTCTGCAGCCTCACGTGGTGGCATGGTCCTCTCAGGGCTTTGCTGAGCGGATCAGACCCATGGTTCGAGATGGTGTCTACTTCATGTATGAGGCACTCCATGGCCCCCCCAAGAAGATCCTGGTAGAAGGTGCCAACGCAGCCCTCCTTGACATTGATTTCGGTGAGTCCTCTACCGGGCATCCATCCTGAGGGGCTCTGGCATGGCTTTTTGTATCTGCCGGGGACTAGGAAAACAAGGAACAGTTGGGTGGATGAATCAGGCCGCCTTCCAAGGCTGCAGTGCTGTCCATACCCACCACGATGCGCCCATTGCCTGTTTGCCTAACTTGAGTCTGATAAGGGAGCAAAGGCCAGAAGTAGGGCAAAAGGGCCTTTCAAGGCCAGGTACCTCATGTTCCCAACCCCATGGCAAACCACTCTACTGTCCTCATTGTTGCGGAGGCCAGGCCATCTCAGTACAGGCTCCGATGTGAGCGCCACATAGCACCTTGTGCAGGCCACTGTCCCAGGACAGGCCCTCAGCTGGTGGCTCCAGCGATGTCCACAGAGGGAACCCAACTGCTCTTTGCTGAGAAGCCATCTTGGGCCCTGGGATCTGCAAAGGGTGATGGGTAGCCACTGGCTATTCTGTCTTGCAGGGACCTACCCCTTTGTGACTTCCTCCAACTGCACCGTGGGTGGCGTGTGCACAGGCCTGGGCATCCCACCTCAGAACATAGGTGACGTGTATGGTGTGGTAAAGGCCTACACCACCCGTGTGGGCATTGGGGCCTTCCCCACGGAGCAGATCAACGTGAGTCCCAGCACAGGAGTGGGGTGGGACATTTGGGGTTGCACAGTGTCAGGTGGGACTGCAGGCATTCTGAGGGACCCTGCTGAGCAGTTCTCCATGTCCTCGTGGGGTCTTTCTACAGCATAGGTTCACGGGTGTTAGAGGCCAACACCATCAACAGCCCAGTTCACAAAAGGGGTGTGTGTGTGTGTGAGAGAGAGAGAGAGAGAGAGAGAGAGAGAGAGACAGAGAGACAGAGAGACAGAGAGACAGAGAGAGAGAGAGAGAGAGAGAGAGAGAGAGAGAGAGAGAGAGAGAGCATCTCAATCTCCATTGCTCCATAAAGCATGCGAGGCCCACAGACAAGTGGGAATCCTTCAGCACTAACTTAGAATTGAGACTGAAATCAGTGCCCTGTCCCCAGCTCTGGCCTTGGAACATTTCTGGGAGCTACTGAGGCCTCAGAATCTCCCTGGCCTTCCTCCCCTGACACCTGATTGGGTCACAGCTCTTGTCCCAGAAAAGGCAGGTGTTTGAGAGAGTCTGAGGTGGGGCTGTATTCAGGGTGGGGATAAATCCTGCCCCCTACCTCAAGTTGCAGGACAAGGCCCCACAGTCACTTGACCGCACTTAAACAACGTGAGCTGCCTGTGCCCCCACAAACAGGCTGGGCTTCTGGGGTGTTCTGAAAAAAATGCTGCCTTCTCAGAGCCATAGTGGGGAGCAAAGCCCTGTGTGTGCCTTATCTGGAAGGAGGATGGAGAGAAAAGGAAGCCAGGGGCACAGGAGACAAGTGGGCACACACCACACCCGTCCTGGTCAGTGCCCAACATGGCAGGCACAGACGGTCCTTTATTCTTACATAGGAAATTGGAGATCTGCTACAGAACCGCGGCCATGAGTGGGGGGTGACCACAGGCAGGAAGAGACGCTGCGGGTGGCTGGACCTGATGATCCTGAGATACGCTCACATGGTCAATGGCTTCACCGCGTAAGTAGTCCCTCAGTACATATGCACCAAGGTGTCATCAAAGTTATATCACATGGAATGCCCACAGGGCAAGTGGGACTCATCTCAGGGGCTGGGACCCCAACATCTATACGGAGTCTTTCGATCCAACCAACCCCCCCCCCCAAGAGCAAGGCCAACATGGGAGAGTAGCATGGAGACCATAGGTGTGAAGCAAACCCAGAACAGGCACACTTTTCCATCCTGACCAATCCAAAATCACTGTGATGGTCATGAGAGTTAGCATTCCGCTGACCAGGTGTTCACCATGGTGTGGTGCTCCTAAGCTGAGGTACCGGGGCCTGAGTAGTGCAGGCTTCAAAGAAGGGCGTGTTTGGGAGGATGAGGGTGGGGGTGAGGGGTGTTCTGGCATTCATTCCCTACCATGCACACCCAAACATGGCCATTGGCTTTGTCTGCAGGGCTTGGGGGACATCCTACAAAGTACAATGGTGGTTTATAAGCAAGGACTTGTCATTTCTAGATTTGTCCTCCAGGAGGAACCCTGACAGAGGGTTGGGAAGAGGCACAGGCCTGGGTGAGGGAAGCAGACAGGCAGGCAGGGCTCTGGGTGCCTCTAGCAAGGCAAGGAGACAGACCAGCTCCACAGTTCCCATGTACCACTGGGAGCTGACTTAACACTCCTGAGGACGCAGAACCCCAATGAGAAAGGCTCCCTATGAAGAACCTGAAACCCTCCCCAGTCAGGAGACATAGGTGGGGGTCAAGGTTGGGTAAGGACCTAAAACAAGGTTCCCTCCAGCCACAGTGGGGCCTTCCCAGGCCTCCCACCTCTGTGAGCCGGCAAGGGAAAATTCCCAAGGATGCTTTCAGATAGAATGCTAGAACAATTTCCTGCAGGAGTGTCGGGGAACACAGGGTGGACCACAGAGGGTCCCTGAAGATCTGATTGCTCAGGACCCTCTCTGGGGATAGAAAGAGGTGTGAAATGTTGGTTCCCCTGCCCAGTCTCCAGCTCTGAAAGAGGACCAAGGCTTCCTCACCAGCACTGGAAAGTCTTCTGGCTTCAAGACTTAACCAGAGCCTTCCTGGGTGGAAACAGAAGTGATAGGTAGCTAGAAGTAAACTGTGCCAGCTGGTGAAGAGGTGAAGCCTTATGAAGCAGATGAAGGGTAGCATGGATCTGCACCCCACATCCTGCCTGAGCAGGCACAGCCAGGTGAGATCCACCTGTGAAACCTGTGTGGAAAGGACAAGATACAGACACAAACAAGGGGGAGGGAAAGAAACTTCAGCACACAGCAGTTCCGAGGAAGGCCTGCCGTATTGCACTGGTCACAACTCAGTCGCGGCATTCAAGCAGATCCGTCCTGGAAAAGTGGAAGGAAAAGTGGGTACCATGTTCAGAGCACGAGGCCCCACATGCCCCATGCCACAGGGAAAACATTGCAGGAGCTCCAGGCAGAGGAGGCACCCACTGGCAAGAGAGAAAGCTTGGATTTCAGGGATGCTACAGCCGGGGGTTGTGAACAGTGGACTCAGGACACCAGAGGCAGGTGTCCCTGTTCTCCAGCCCGTTCGGTGACTGCATTTTGGGGGGAGAATCACCTAATCTTTACTGTGTTTAGAGCGAACAGCAGGAGAAAGGGGTGGGTGGAAAATAGAAGCAATGACAGGCAGTGTGCCATTTCTCTATTTTGTCTGTATCTTGTTTTGGGTACAGGCTGGCCTTGACCAAGCTGGACATTCTAGATGTCCTGAGCGAGATTAAAGTTGGCATCTCCTACAAGCTCAACGGGAAGAGGATTCCTTATTTCCCTGGTATGTGAGATGAGCCTGAGTTTTGTTTTGTTTTTTCCTGGCCATTGGGAAACTTCTTGAGCATTAGAAAAGGCATCTACTAATTTTTAGTTGGCTAGGGGAGGGACTCTAAGCTGAGGGTCACTGCTTGTCTCCAAAGCCTGGCAGCCACCTAGTTTTAGTCCCTCGGTTTCTTGGTAAGGCCTGGCCCATCTCTGGGAAACTCCAGGCCTTCTGGTGACTTGGAAATGTCTTGGGACGGGGCTGAAAGGCAGCTGAGAGCCTACCCGCCACTTGCCCTGGCTCCCTGGGAACCTTCACCAGCCTCAGAAAGGTCCACCTCCAGGATGATGGACAGCCTGGAAAATCAGGAGAAATGAGCTTTGCAAAATCTCTATAAAAACATAACGCATTTCGGATGAGAAAACCTGCTCTGTGGGTGGATTCCTTTTCCTAGTGCTGGGGGGCTGGAGCTTAGGGCCTCATCTATGCTAACAGGTGCTTAGCCCCCCTAAGCTGTATCTCCATCCCTGGGTGACATCTAAGGACCTGGCTTGGCTCCTGCACCCGTGTGTCCTGTGCTTCTTCTGCCTGTCATTTCTGTCATATTTCTAGAATATGCCTCTCAGCCTCTGGCCAGAGGCACATCTCATCAGCTGAGCTTCCCTCAGTTCCCCTGAGAACTGCCTCGTGCTTGTCACCTCCCAGTAAACCCACAGAGACTCACTAGTACCCATAAGATGGAGGAGCCCTGTGCATCCTTGAGGTCGGGTCCTCCGACCCTACTGATCCCTGACCTTTGAAAGGGTGATCCTTCAAGTTGATAGTGCCCTGCTGGAGGCTCAGGGCTCTGTGGTAATGTGGAGTGCCCAGGTGAGACACTGTCTGACTCTGAGGCTGGAGGACCCTTCTAGGAGGCCTCCTACCTGGCATCTTCCATTAGCAAGGAATGATGCATCCACTGTGAGCTGTGGCTCCAAGAAGAAAGTCACATATCTTTAAGGATACCTTGCTTCGGGATTCTAGAGTCTCATAATTTTCAGTTGTGCCTTAGTGTTTCTCCATTGACATTCTGTGGACACTCAACAGTTGGCCGGTGTCTAGGAACTGGCCATGCTTCCTGGCTGGAAGGGGCACAGTCAATGTTTTGAGCCCCATTACAATCCCCTGCTCACTGCCCAATGCTGAAAAGCCAGCACTTGTCCAGCTTCATGCCTGCTGAGTCATTAGGTCAGAAGACAACCATCCCCAGAAGTAGGAGGGCAGTCTATGGGACCCCTCTGACCCCACTCTCTCCCACCCCCAGCTAACCAGGAGATACTGCAGAAGGTGGAGGTAGAGTACGAAACACTGCCTGGATGGAAAGCAGATACCACTGGTGCCAGGAAGTGGGAAGACCTTCCCCCGCAGGCCCAGAGCTATGTGCGGTTTGTGGAGAATCACTTGGGTGTGGCAGGTGGGTGCCGTGTGTCTGTTCCTCCTACCCCCACACTTTAGGCCTTGGATACCCCAGGTGGCCTGTATCCCAACTCACAGCCTAGTGAGGAATAAGAACCCCAGGTAGTAACCACTTGAATGGAACAGACAAGAAGAGGTGGAGCTGGGAACAGGTGCCCCCTGGGGAGGGCCACTTCCACAGCTCCAGCCAGGTGGGGGCCCAGTGACCACTTAGGGTGTGGTTTCCGGTGCAAAGAAGCAGGCAGGACATGCCTGACCTGTATGTAACTGTGTTCACTCTGTCATCTAGAGAGGACCCAGGGCTGTATCCCAACGGCTCAGGCAAGGAGGAGGACAGGATAGGGTGCTGCTTTCTGATGCCCGTGGATGAACGACCATCACAGGGCCCACAGTACAGTTTCAAATACTCCCCTTCTGGGGCAGGAGAGGTGGCTCAGCAGTTAAGAGCCTTGTTGTTCTTGTGTGAACCAGGGTTTGGTTCTCACCACCTGCATGGCAGCTCACAACCACCTGTAACTCCAGTTCCAAGGGATCCCATGTCTTCTTCTGACTCTGGGCACCAGGCTTATACACGGTACACATACATGCATGCAGGCAAAACTCCTATCACATAAGATAAAATTTTTTAAATTTACTTTCTTTTAAAAATAAATCCATTTGGTGAACTAAACAGCCCCTTTGCCAGGGGAATGAAAAGCTCAGGATTCGGCATTAAGGGACATTTTGTAACCTGTGTATGCGTGTGCAGAGGATAGCCTCAGGAGTCACCTCAGGAACCAGGAACGCTGTCTACTTCTTTTTAAGACAGGATTTCTCATTGGTCTAGAGCTCACTGAACAGGCTAGACTGGCTGGCCAGTGAGCCCCAGGGCTCTGTCTCCACCTCCCCATGGTAGGGATTACAAGGGTATGTCACTAGGCTGGAATCTTAACTCCAGGCTTTTGGGATCAACTCGGGTTCTCATGCTTACCAGGAAGCTCTACCAACAGAGCCATCTCTTCCAGTCCTGAGAACCATTTTCGTTCATAGTCTCTCTGCTGTGCTCTTTGTTGTCCTTTCAGTCAAATGGGTTGGCGTTGGGAAGTCCAGAGAGTCCATGATCCAGCTGTTTTAGACGCCAAGCAGAAGCCAGCAGGCCACACCATGGCCCGCTGCCACGAGTGAGCAGCTGCAGCCAAGATCCTCAGTGGTACAGCCAATGTCTTTCCACAAGACAATCTGAAACCATTTCCCATACTTTTATTTTTCTATGTACGTCTTTGGCTTGACCCGGTGAATTCTCCAACAATTTTCAATGTGTGAAAGGAAAGCACTGTGTACACTTTTTAAAATCTGCTTTTAAAATGAGCCTAAGAGCTCGAAACAGAGGCCTTTCATGACTGATGGTCAACGGTGTGTGTTCAGCTGGAGCCATGTCATAATAAACACATAGCCAGGAGCCACCGAGAGGTTATTGCCCCTGTCATGACTCTGTCCTTATCACTGTTAGTCATCTTTCCCAATGGTCATGGTCTACACGACGCCACTCTCACACAGCAAAACCCAGCAGTATGAGGGACACTGCCACCACCATAGGGTCAGAAGCGCACAAGGATCGCCTAAAGCTCGTCTTACCTACAACTTACATTCAGCAAAGCAGGAGAAGCCCGTTTCCCAGGGTGTGAGGAAAGGCCTTTCACAGAGCCAGACAAAAGTGGGCGGGCTCATCTAGTGTACCTGCCTTTAAAACAAAACGACTGTATGTCTGTGGCCTGCACTTGACACTGGGGTGGCTTAGTGACACTGTCCTGCTAAGCTTGGGAGAGTGCCAGTGTTACCTGGTGTGTGATATGGATGTCAGGACCAAGGTGTTATAACAGCTGGACTCCTACATTTTTGGTGTCATGGAGCTACAGTGTGGTGCTTGTTCAGGAAAAAGAAAAAAAAATGCAGCAAGTCCTTGAAAGACAGACCAGGTATATCACATTTCCCAGAACTAACAGTCTAAGAACGTACACTCCAGAGCTGCCAGGGATCCAGGAATAACAATTCTTCCTGTCTCCAGGGACAGAGCAGCCCAGACACACACACTTGGTCGCAGTCCCTGGAAACTTCTCCAGACTGAAGCAGACAGGTCTTAATTAGCATGGCCTGTGCTCGCTGGAACACCAAGTGGCCCCTTGAGTAACATGCCGGAGTCTGGGGGTACATTAGGCTAGCCCAGTCTAAGGACATGTCTCATTGCATTTTCACCTCTATGACAAAATAACTATATTTAAAAAAAAAAACTAAAAAGGGTTTATTTTGGATGACTGTTTCATCCATGGCCAGTCATGGCCAGCTCGGTGGCTAGAGCTCTATGTGAGGCAGAAGCATCATGGTGGAGAGCACTTCATCAGGAAGGAATTAGAGAGACAGGGGAACCACTCACCCTTCAAGACGCACAACCAGGTCTCACCTAAAAGCCCATTCAGCCATGAACTCACCGAGGGATGGATGAATCCATTGAAGTTAGGCCATCATGATCCAATCACCCTTCAATCATGCTGCCATCTGGGGAATCACGCCTTCAACATGTGGGGCCTCTGAGGAGAGACTTCACATTCATACCACACCACCCAGGAAAGGCTCACACTAAACCTCCCTGAGCCCATCAGGTGGGTTAGAGAGGTCCCTGAGGACCAAGCAGGAGGAAAATCACAATAACATTCTTGAATAAAACAACCCTATTCCTAACCCTTTGGAAAGCTGCCAGTTTGCTTAGAAGATAAGCACATGTCCCCCTCTCCCTCTAACACATTCACGTTCGGAGGGAAGAGGGAGCCCCATTCCCGAGTAGCACCCAACACTGAATGATCAATATGTCAGAAAAGGCCTGGTCCAAGGTTGTCCATAGGAACTAAATGCATCATAGCCAAAGCTTGCCAATGGCCCTGGTGCCTAACAGGCAGATACACAAACTTTAGGCTTTCTAGACAGAAGAACACCCAGTATCAAAACGAACCAGCTGCCACAGACTTGAACTAGAGGGAGCAAGCTCAGAACTACGGGAGAGCAGCCAGATACATCGGCACACACAGAATGAGTACTCCCTGTATGAGATTCTGATGCCATTTGGTGGGAACTTTGGAAAAAGAGTAAGAAAAAGCTCAGTGTCAGACATTTTACAAGCATACTCTGGCTGTGGCCCCCACCTGAAGGGAAAAGACAGAAGAAACTATGACATGATTACCCCTCTCTAACACCCACCGGCAGCCAGACCCAGTGAAACCCTTTGGAAGCTTGCAGGGAATTGTGGGAATTCTTGGCCGGGTGAGGGGGTGGGGGTGTCATTATCTTAATGTGAACAGCAGTCCTGGTGGTGGTTCCCTAGCCATGTTCCCGCCCCGTCTGTCCCACTGGATTTAAGCCTTACAGTAGGAGACAAGCCCATGCCTCCACATAGAGGTGGAGCCTGTTCCTTACAGTTCTACAACAGGGGACACCACCCACGGGGAAGGAAACACAGAAGGCAGTCGTCACTTCTACAGGTGTTTGTCATCAGGGCTTTAACCTGTACACCTACTTGGCACTTGTCCTATGCTATTCATGTTGAAGTCCTAACTCCTAAGACTTCAGAATGTGACTATCTGGATACAGCCTTTTGTTTATTTTATTTTTGGTGTTTTGAGACAGGGTCGCACCACACAGCTTGGGCTGGCCTCAAACTCACAGAGATCCGCCTGCCTCTGCCTCCGGAGAGCTGGGATTAAAGGCGTGCGCCGCCACCACACCTGGCTCCTGGGTATATATATAGTCTTAACGAGTTAAAACGGGGTCCTTAGGGTGGACCCGAACTCAAAGAGGTTGGTGTTTTTATGAGATGAGGACTCAGACACCCCATGTAGTTTCCATCTGCAGATCGAGGAAGATGAGAGGCCTGCAGAGAACCCAACGCCTTAATCTGAGGCTGTGCCTTTGTAATTACAGATCCCCTAATTGGCCTTCTCCCTTTCCGAACTCGGGAACGCAAACTCAAGTACTGGGACTGGGGGTGAGGGGGTGTGTGTCTCAAAATTTGGAGAATGCTGAGCATGCGCCAGGCCTCCCTCGCACCGTGATGAGCGCAAAACTCAATGCACCTCAACAAGTCGCCCTTAGGTTCAGATAGAGTGTGGAAAGAATACAGGACTCAGGAGGCCCTCGGCACCGCTGCTGTGCCGACTGTGTGCACCGCGTTAGGAGCCGCCCAGGCAGGCAGTGCCAGCGGTAAACGCTCACCCAAGCTCGGGCTCACGGACGCAGGAGGACCGCAGGGAGAGATGGGTGCCGGCAGTCACCCTGCTGCTGCGACTCGTCCCCCGGGAAGACCACCCATCACAGTTGCTAAGCGACCGCGGAGACTTTGTGCCGCGCAGGCTTACACAGAGCCCCCGCGCGTAAGCCCCGCCCCTGGGTAGCCTCCCGCTGGTTTCCCGCGCCACACCCTCCGGAGCCCCCGCCTCTTAATCCTCGGCCTATCCCGAGTCGTCTCGCGCACTACCCCCGCCCACCTCCAACTCTCGGCCTATCCCGCGCCGCGCCACGCGAAGACCCCGCCCTCCTTGCCATCCCTTTGGCCTTTCCCGCGCCCCCTGAGTTCCACCCACTTCCTCCCTCTGCCTTTTGCCTGCCCTTGAGCCCCGCCCCCGGCCTCTCCCCGCCCCCTCGGGCGCCGCGCCGTCGCCAGCCCCGCCCCCGCCGGCGTTGTGAGCGCGCTGTGACGTCCGCGCCGCTGTGGTCAGTGTTTGGTACCCGCTGCCATGCCGAAGCGGAGCTGCCCGTTCGGGGACGCTTCCCCGCTGCAGCTCAAGGTCCATGTGGGCCCGAGAGAGCTGAGCCGCGGGGTGTTCGCCCAGCGCTACTCGCGGGAGGTCTTCGGTGAGTGCGGAGTTCCGTGGTAGGGCGCGCAGCGCCGCGCCGCGGGAGACCCCAACTGGCTTGCGCGTCGCCATCCCCGGGGGTGGAGGCGGCTTGGGGCGGCTCCCGGGGAAATGCGAGTGTAGCCGAGGACTGTCGAGCGGGAGTCGGCCCCCTCAAGTGGGCTTTCTGGCGGCAGGGTGTTGCTTTGCAGTGATGGCTCTCTGGGGCCGATGCAACGCGGCTTACCTGGCTTAGGGCGAAGTTTATGCCTGTAGTTTTGAGTGGTGCGCTGTGCCTTTGGGATGTGTCGTTAAAGCCCAGGCTGCGGAATTACAGACTCCCTAATGCGCCGTGTGTGTGTGTGTGTGTGTGTGTGTGTGTGTGTGTGTGAATTCCAGACTCCCTAATGCGCCCCAAGTGTGTGTGTGTGTGTGTGTGTGTGTGTGTGTGTAGCTGATGGGCCCTTTCCCTTTCTGTACTGTGGAATGCAAACTCGAGTGCTGAGACCTCAGGGGTGATGAGTGAAGTGTGAGGCCTGAACAGCAAAGCGTCATGCACTCATTTAAAAGAAACAAAAGTAGACATGACGGGAGTCTTGGCATTCGCCCTTGATGCTAGCAACTCACCAGGCAGAAGCAGGCGGATCTCTGAGAGTTCCGGGGCCAGCCTGGTCTACAGAGCGAGTGCCAGGACAGCCTCCAAAGCCACAGAGAAACCCTGTCTTGAACCACCCCCACCCCCCAAAAAAAAGAAAACCTAAGTATAATTGGAACCTAGCAGCCTGGCTCTACTCTTTTAAAGACTTATATCCTGGAGCACTTGCCAGGGCCAGTCAGAACCAGCCAGGTCAGGGAGGGGTGCTGGTTTCTGGGGTGTTGTATAGTCATACAGTACACACAATTTGAGGCCTGAAGGATGAATACCAAGCCTCGGCCTACACTCTGGACTCTTTTGTGGGCCAGGAGTCCTTGAGGAGAAAGATTACTCTCAACATGGGAATCTTCCTATCTCCCTCTTTTTCAAGCAGGCTTTTACAATGTATCTTAGGCTAACCTTGAACTTAAACACTCCTGCTGCCTCAGCCTCCTGAGTGCTGGGATGTGCCTCTGTATCTACTTTCTATCTTAAAGCAGGAGGTGGCACAGACTGTAACTGGCCTGATAACAGCCACTCCCTGTGACTTTTTGCTGGCTGTTGCTGCTGCCAGTTTCACAGAGGGGCCCCTGGGTCTGACAGGTCTCCCCTGGCTGTATGTGGGAGTGAGCATTTCTGGAACCAGCACACAGTGTAGCCTAATGGGAAGCCCCTGTTAAAGCCCACTTAGCGCTGGGATAGGGGGTGGGTGGACCTGGAAGGTTCTGGGAGACCTTTGTCAGGAGGTTGCTGTCTTTGTCCCCTATAGTAAGTGCAGTTGTCCGCTGGCCTGATGGTGATTGTAGGCGCTGTTTTGAACCTGTGTGTTTCCTGCCTCTTTGGGGCACTTGCTCTGGAGAGTGAGTGGTTCAAGGCCAGAGCTTTCTCTGGCGTGAAAGACAGGTGCTTATAGGAGGGTGAAGAGTAAGACACTAACCCAGTGAAGTAAGGTTAGCTGTGGCTGCTGAGATAGGCTAATGGAAGGAACCCTGCGCCCAGCACATCGGGGTGGTGGGGTTGGGCTGCAGCATCTGCAGGCTGCTGTGGAAGGAGCGAACAGTGGAGACAGAAAGGACGGGAGCATTTTCAGCTTGGAGGCAGGGAGGCCCTGGCAGTGTCACCACTTAGGGAACAGGCACAGAGGACGACGCCTATGCAGGGGCTTTGCAGTTGGCAGTGTTGTCTTTAGGAAGGATCTTTCTTCCCCAGAAAGAACCAAGCAGCTCCTTTTCCAAGGGGCCCAGGCCTGTAGAGACCACATATGGGGTGAAAGATGTCCCATCATCCACCTGCCGGAGTCACTGAAGCCTGGCCTGGTGGGGGCCCCTCAAGCTGCAAGGGGACAGATGCTGATTGGACCTGATGGCCGACTGATACGGTGCCCAGCTCAGGCCTCAGAAGCTGGTGAGTGGAGGCCAGCGGTACTCGCTGGTTATCACACCTAGGAAACACCTTGGCAAATGCTCTCTTCAGGGGCTTTGACAACCTTGGCAAGTAGCATCCGCTTAGAGCAGTGGTTCTCAACTGGGTCATGACCCTTTAGCCAATCTGTCTCCACCACGACATGAACTATATTAAAGGTTGCAGTGTCAGGAAAGTTGAGAACCACTGACTTTGAACCTGGTAAGTTGAGCAAATGGCAGAAGGTTTGGAAGCCTCCTGTTGTTGGGAGGTCTGCCCCTCAGAGACATCCAGGAGTGGAAGTCAGCAGCTTCCAGTTGTTGTATCGGAAAAGGAACAGGGCTCTCCTGGTATCCTGTCTGTAGTAGGAACATGCTGGTCCATTGCCTGTGGAAAAATGAGCTCATGTGACTGGTGAAGGCAGGCCTCTGTGTCAGCGCTAAATCTGGCTGGTCCCAGAAACCTCCTGGCTGACCAGCAAAACAGGGAACCATATCTTGAGACCTAGACAGAGACACAGAGTTCTGATAGAGTACTCCAGGGAAGAGTGACCCTTCCATGCTAGGACTAGGTGGGTGATATGCCCTGGGAATGCCTCGCTGTGGATCTTTAGTGCCCCAGGTGGCTGATAGTTATAAGGACTCAGTGGCTGGGGCAGGTAGGTGCCCACTGCCCTCGTGTTCTTCCAGTTTCTTTCCAGTGCCGGTGGTGTTTTTTCCTCACAGGTCTGCCTGGGACAGCTCCCATCGCTTGCTCATCCTGTGTGAGATCTGCAGATGGGAAGGCGGTCTGCAGCCAGTGCGACCGTGCCCTGTGTGGACAATGTATATACACCTGCTGGGGCTGCGGTGCCTTGGCCTGCATGCTGTGTGGCCTTGCAGAGTGAGTGCTCTGACCTGTGGGGCTGCGGAAATCACAGTCCCTCTCCCTGGGTGTGTACTCTGTAGGCACCATTCGCCATCAGGTTACAGGACAGGACAGGACTTGGCAGTACATGCTTTACCGGGTTCTTCTCAAGACTCTGTGATCCTTTTGAAGGAAAGCCATGCTTCTCAAGTATCTGTGGCCTGCTTGAAGCAGCTGCCTGGCTTAACCAGCCTTGTGGTCTGGTCTTCCGAGTCCTTATTAGAACTCCAGTAGTCCACGCTTTCCTAGTTTCTATCTCTGTTCCGTGTGCTTGTCATCTGAGGGTTGCCTCACACCTGCCGCCGGGCACATATGCAGGTCAGACCTGCCCTCATTGCAGCCAGCTGGGTCAGCTGTTTATTTGTAAGTACTTGGTGAGTGGATGGACACTGCAGAGCCCCACCCCTTGTCCCACCCTGTGAGGACACACTCCACCAAATGTGTATGGAATCAGTCCAGTGGATCCAGATAAGCTCAGGCCCAACATTCCTAAAGTTAATCAGTCAGAAAAAAAAAAAAAAAAAAAAAATCACATGGCAATTCCTCACCGCTAGGGGACTCTTCAGTCTTCAGTGGTTTGGAGAGATCAGGAGTGCGCATGCAGGGGAGCTCTGGGGGAAAGTCTCGGGTGCCTGCAGGGCTGGGCTGGTCACACTAGGGCTGGGAGGGAGAGTTGGCCAGGCTGCTTCCCAGCTTCTGGTGACAGCTTGCTATAGGTCCTTAGTGTCAGTGGCCATCTTGTTGCTGTGTCTTCATGTCACACCTGTGTGTCTCATGACATCTGCTTACCTGTCTGGTGAGCTAGAAAGGACTGGAGCCCAGAGGTCAGGTCCATAGAATGCTGCATGCTAGACCTCCTCCCAGAGACAGTGGCATCCCCAGACTGTCCCTGGAAGGTACAGTCACATGAGTCTGTCTTCCAGCAAGTGCGCATGCTGAGGTGTCCTGGGACTAAGGGCTTTAGGAAGTAGGGGGTGTAGTCGGCCTCTTATGTGGTTTTTCTCTCTCTCTCCCGACAACTGTAGTTACTCTGACGACGGTGAGAAGACACTTTGCACCAACTGTGCTATGTTTGAAGCCTGACGCGGTGGCCATGGACGGCACAAGATGCTCACACTGAAGAGAGAGGAGCTGGCTTTTTATACATTATGTTTTGTACCTCAGTAACGAGTGAATAAACCTCTTTATATTTGCACAAGGACTCATCTGTCACCCATGTTGACGGCAGCATTGACAGCCTCAGGGGCAGACTTTGCCAGCAGCATGCGCCTCAGGCACCTTGGTATGGTGGGGCCCTGCTTATTGGCAAACCAGGCCCAGAGATTTCTATCCTGTCCTAGCTCTGCTGAAAGCGAGGGAGGCAGCTGGACCCAGGAGTCCGGCTGCCGAGTAGTCACCTGTGTGGTCAGCCACCTGTCACACTGAGGCCACTGTCACATGGCCCTCTTTTTCAATACCAGAGGCTTTGATGAGCCCTCGTCCTCCAGGAGGTTTGGCTCAGGGCAGTGTCCTGTTGATGCTAGGGTATAACAGTCCTCACCGAATCTTCAGAGATGTGGGGTTTTTTTTGTTTTTCAGCACAGGGTTTCTCTGTCTAACAGCCCTAGTTGTTCAGGTTGGCCTTGAAATCCACCTTCCTCTGCCTCCCGAGCGCTGGGATTAAAGGCATGCACCACCGCCTGGCTTGTTTTGTTTTTTTTTTTGAGATGGGATTTCTCTTTGTAGCCCTGGCTGTCCTAGAACTCACTCTGTAGCCCAGGCTGACTAGAACTCACAGAGACCCACCTGCCTCTGCCTCCTAAGTGCTAGGATCAAAGGCGTGCGACACCACAGCCAGCCAGAGATGGAGTTTACACAGGGCTTTGGAAGGAATTCACAGGAGATAAGATGGGCAGTAGTGGTGTGCCAGTCACTACAGCCTCCTGGGTCTGCCACTTAGAAGTGCTTGGCCGGTGGGTGGGTAGACAGTACAGAGCTCCCCTTTCCCTGCCCTGTTAGAACAACTGTTGCTCCCCACATACATCGATGAGGTGTTGCCCTAGATGGGGTTGGTTCAACCTTCCTAGTTATAGTCTGACAGTTGACCCATAGCCCTTTTGTAAGCAGGTTTGGAGGCTGCAGGTGAGGGAAGGGTTAGTCATGGCTGCGGGAGCCCTCACTGCGATGGGTAATGGGACCCTGGCTAGTTTTGAGGGTTAAGTAGTACTGAAAGCTGCTGTTCTGTAGACAGTGGCTTAGAGCTGGACCCATCTGGGCCAGGGGTAGCACTTAAGCTCGTGTAGCCGTGCTGAGGAGGAGGGGCATCCAGATAGGCTGGCCAGTGAAGTTCTGAGACGGGATTTGGGATTCTCCCTGGAGTGACTAAGTATGCATGTATGTATGCATGCACGCACCTATGTGTTTGCAGCCAGGGCTCACTGTAGTTCTGGCTGTCCTCGAACTATGTACACCAGGCTGGCTTCAAACTCAACAGAGATCATCTGCCTCTGCCTCTGCTTCCCGAAGGCGTGCACCGAAACGCCTGGCAGTCTTCTGGATCTTAAACGTTCTGAGGCTGTTGTAAGTGCTGAAGCAGTAACACTTGTCAGCAAGTATCAGAAAGGAGCTGGAGGCTGGGGGCTCGCCAGGCACCACAGGAACCAAAGCAAACCTGGCCGCGCACCACACCCTCATGCCGTGACTTCTGAGGCGGCTTCACCCTGGCCTCCAGCCTGCTCAGCCATGCTTTGCATGAGCTCCTAGTGTAGCTAGCCCATCTCTCTCACCAGCGAGGATTGTTGCACAGCCCCCGCCTCCTTCAGGCTGTCCTCATAAGCAGCTGGCTGGCCCTAAAAGTAAAACACCAGAGACTTTACCTCTCCCGCCCCTGCCCCCCTAGGGTTCGGTCCACTCCCCGCCCCGGAGCTCCCCCTCACTTCCGCAGCTGGAGCCTCTTGCTCTGAGTTGTCCATATGGCTCGTGTATACCTTTCGGGTTTGGGTTCAGAAATATCCCAGTGCCTTAATGAACAGCCCTGTTGACTTTTCTGATTCCACCATTCAGAATATATGATGCTTGTTAACCCTTCAGCTGCTGTGACTTGGCTTGAAATGGCTCCTTTCATGTCATAGACTTGTAACCTGCCTAGAATCCAGCCATGGGAAGCAGGGACTTAAAAATGGTTTGTTTAGGAGCGCATGAGTATGTTAGTGTGGATGCATGCATGAGTCCGCGTGTCTGGAGCCAGGGTCTACTTAGTGATGTTTAGTTTTTATTTGGTTTGTGGGTGGTTTGGTTTCTGAGGCGGGGCCTCTCATTTGGCCTGGAGCTCACTGATTAGGCCGTCTGGTCAGCAAGCTTAAGGGACCCAGTCTTAAGTCTCCCCAGCATTAGGATTATAGTCAAATGCCACCATTGTGTCTGGCTTTTTTAAATGCATATTCTGGGGATCAATCTTGTTTACCAACAGAGCACTCCAGCCCCTACACAATGTCTAAAAAGAACAAAGTACCAAGACATCAAACAGCAGCCAGTGCCAGATGGTAGCCCCAAAGAAGGGAATGAGATTGAGCTCAGGGTGTTAGCTCCTGCATGCAGAGCACCCACCTGTGGTGTGGGAGGGCATTCAAAAAGCCTGTGAAAGGGTTGAGAAGGTTTGGGACTTACAGCTAGGGTGGCCAGAGCTTGCACATTGGTTTGCAAGTGTGACCTGCACGCTGGAGCAGAGCACCCTACAAAATGTTAATGTTGAGAGCCAGGGAGAGAACAAGAAGCAGTTCACATTCCCAACAAAGAAGGAATATGGGCAGGATCCTCACCAGGGTCTCAGACTCCATGGACAGGCCTTCCCTCCCCTAGTGCAAACCACCTGGCCTCTTCCTGGGGTGAAAGCAATGCCTGACCAACTGTAGCTGCTTCCTGTCTTGGAAACTGTAAGACAGGGTGTTGGTGAAACACACCTCCTGCAGGGAAGCTCCTTGAGCTCAGCAAAGTAAATTCATGGGCTTCAGAAGTCCCTGAAACTGACCAGACTCCTTCAGCCTGTTCAGCTGCCTGTAGTTTGTGTAGTGTGTTTGTGAGCTGTCACTCATGCTGAGGTGATGCAGCTGTCTTTGGAGTTCCTGTAAACAACCCTTCACCTATATTCTTGTATGCCACCCACCTCTGTAAAACTCACTGGTCGCCAGGTTGGTCTTTGGTAGTAACTGTACTTTGTCATGGGTTCCCTAGCTGGGGTAAATAGACATTTGCTCCCATCTCCCCAGGAATAGTGCCATACAAGTCTAGAACACAACTCAAGAGTGTCACAGTACAAGTACCCAACCATTATCCCAGAACACAACCCAAAAGTCCTCTCAACTTAGTCCACGTAAGATAAACAGTAAACTTTCCTTTCTCCTTCCCTGGCCTTATTAGGTCATTTCCCTAAATGGAAACTATAACCATTAAGCAATTCCCACTGGTCCCCACCCTGGCAAACACCATTCAACTTTCCATAAATTGGACTACTTCAGACACCTCATTTAAGCTTCCCAGGCCCTTCCTTTGGCTGCAGGGTCTAGCCCCTCATCTGCTCCGGAAGGCTAGGCTAGGTCTGCCTTTGGTGAGGGTACCACATGTCCCAAGAGCATCCCCTAGATGCAACAATGATTCTGAGTTAACAGTGGGCTCAGCTGCCCATCACTGTATTCACTCCCACTAAGAGCTCCGCCCACCTCTGTGATGGGGGCATACACAACAGTAAAATGCTCACGACTTCTAGACCCCGTCCTGATGTGGGATAAGGCTCTTATATGCTGTAAAAACCTGTCACTTGTATTTGTTTAATAAAATGCTGATTGGCCAATAGCCAGGCAGGAAGTATAGGAGGGGCAACCAGCAAATTCTGGTTAGAGGAAAGGCAGAGACAGAGTGGCCAGCCAAACGCCGAGGAATTATGATGAGAATGCCTTACTGAGAAAAGGTACCAAGCCATGTGGCTAAACATAGATAAGAATTATGGGTTAATTTAATTGTGAGAGCTAGTCAGTAATATGCCTGAGCCATTAGCCAGTTTATAATTAATAGCCTCTGTTTATTTGAGACCGAATGGTGGCAGGACAGAAACTTCCATCTACACCTTCCTCTGCACTAGAGACATCCCAGAGGTGCCTTTGGAAAGAACAGCCTGCAGCACTCCATCTGGCCCAACCTTGGCTTTAGCTGTGTTTCTACATTTCAGCCGTTTTATTTATATAAGGTTTTGCTCTAAGTCTGAGGGTCACAGAGAACACTATTTACCATGTGTGTGCCCCCCCCTCCAATGTCCAGTGCTAGGTAGGCCTGGCTGGGTTTGAACTTGAGATCTGTCTGTCTCCACCTTCTGAGTGCTAGACTAAAGGTGTACACCACCACATGTGTCTGGTGTCTGTCTTCTATGGATCCCTAGTAACTTGAAGTACAGTATGCAGTGCTGTGTGTGCCTTCAGAAAGGCTCTAGAAGTCACCCAGAGGATAGTGTCTTCCAGAGGTCAAGGCCATCATCAAGTCCTATGGTTGCAAGAGTCAGACACCATCCCAGTGAGGCCACCAGCCACTGGGCTCTCTGTACATGTGCAGTCCTCCATACCAGCAGGGAGCCCAGCACCTGGGGGCCTCTAATAATTGTTTTGCTGGGCAATTGTTCATCTCTTGCTGCAGTTCTACAAGTAGCCACCAGGTGGCACCAACAGCATACCCAGTGTATCGGGAGGCTGCTGGGATTTGACACTCTAGCATGACCTTGGCTCCTGTCACCTCCAACCAAACCCAGAATGGTCCTCAGTTCCGTTCAGTCGCAGAAGTGCTATATGACTCAACCAGGGCCTCCTGAGTCCTTTCTGGACTGCACCCCATTATGCTGTTATCCTTCCTGGTATCCAGGTCCAGCTTACTGCTCTGCCTAGACACAGCAAAGAGGGCTGGCAAGTGGCACGCTTTGGGGAAAGTCAAGGGAAGAATGGCCTCCAGAGACAGACAGGATTCCCCACTTGTCATTAGGAGGTACACCGGAGCCTCAGGTGACCCTAGCCACATCCCTTCACCTCCAAACCCAACAGACAGGCTCCACACTCCACACCATCCAGCAAAGCAAACCACAAACTTGAAAAGCAATTTTTATTGAATTTGGAGGGACAGTTTCTTATTATAATAGTAAAAATGCTGAAGTTGACTGTTGTAAAAAACGACATGGTGCAGCAA